CCAAAATAGTATGATTCCTGGGTTGATTCGGAAGTTCAACTGCCTGATTTAATAGTCAAACTGCTTCGGTTAGATTCCGAATTGTTGCCTGCTATTTTTAACTTCCTGATAACAGTACAGTACCTAGTACCTGTTATCTATGCCCTCACCTCAGCTAAGACAGTTACCCCACTCACAAAATGGAAGAGTCCAGAGTTTGCAGAAATAGGTTGTTTTTGTGAAATTAGGCCCCTATGTTCGTGAATGCTCGTTGCACATTTGTGAAAATACAGAGTTCGTTTGGGAAAGTATGTTGTTAGTTTGTGAAACATGATCGTTTGTAAAAGTATGTTGTTTGGGAAAATAGATTTTTGAGAAAGTACGTCGTTCGTTTGGGAAAATACGTCGTTGAATAATGTTGTTGGTTTGTGAATGTTCGCTGTTCGTTCCACTTTTGTATTTTGGCGGCGAATGCCTTCTATACATTTGACAACTAAAATCTGAATATTACCTTGGCATGCTGGTCCTGTGTAATAAATCGAACAAGATGACCCAGATGTACAATCTCCTGTTTTTCTGTCACATCCTCCTGAATCGCAGTGACATACTTGACGGCAATCTGCTCCATAGTGATTGTTAGCACATGCTGTGAAATAGTACAGTTTGGGATAATCACATTGTCAGTCGATTAGTACCATATATTAAATCTTGTAGAAACATACATGTGACGAGCAACAGTGTTTTGTTTATCTTTTTTTTAAATTAAAATATATGCAGAGTAGACCCTTAATGTGGTTAATTGCTTGTGTCCTGGGCCTGTGCAATTTATTTTTTTAATTGCAGTCCTCTATCCATTACATGAGTTTTGTTTCATTGCTCTGATTTTGGATTGATTCCTCAAAGTGGAAATATAATAAAGCATGTATAGGCATGCAGTAGTAGTAATATATACTGTAATATCATTATGCTATTCAATTGTTCCCTGAATCATAAAATGAATTAAAAATAAGTAAAGTTAATCTTTATGATAAACTAGATTTTCACATTTTTTTTATAGTTTTATAAGAACTAGTAAAATTTTGCCCATGCTTATTGTTCTTATTTTTCTGGCCGATATCAGGCTCAAAATGTTCATATTTTGTTCTTATATTTACACAATTTTTTTTTTTTTAGAAAATTATCATTGTATAGCAGCATATTACTGTACATACTATATAGAGTGTATAGTCACACCTCACTCCAAATAAGATAGCAATAAGGTTTGTTGGTTTTCCATATTTAAAAACGAAAAACTCAATAGACATTTTATCTCAGCCTTAATTTGTTCATACTTTGTTCTTAATTTTTAAGCGATTTCAGCCTCAGTGTTCTTGTAAAATATGTTCTTATAAAAAAAAAAGTGTACTGTATTGCTAAACCAACTAAGGATATTCTATTTTGTTGATTACAAACTGCTCTAAGTCAACATCAGAAGCACAGTGGGTTTTTTGCCGATTTCATTCTTAAATTGTTCTTATTTTGTTTTTAGTTTTACACACTTTTCGAGCATACAAAATTATTATTGTAGAGCAGTATATAACTGTACTGTATTATAGATGGTATTACATAGCACCTGCTGCAAATAAAGGTAAGTAAGATTTGTTGGTTTTTTTTCTATTTACTTTTTAAAATTTTATTTAATAAACACCTCCTATGACATTTTACCTCAGCCTCCATTTGTCCTTATCATAAGCTTAATTTCAAAGCGATTTTAGCCTCAGTGTTCTTATAAAATGTGTTCATATAAAAGAAATGTGTATCCATCAGAGATGCCAACATCATCTTGGTATAATATATCGTAACATCCCATTTTTGGATACATTATTATTGTAAAGAATTTTTAATATGTTTTTCTTTTCTTTTTAAATTTTGCAATATAAGAAGAATTTTTTGAGTAATGTTCATCTTATGTGATTTATAAAAATAATCATGATAAACAAGCACTCTGTGTTAGTTGATTACATAAGTGAATGTTGCTGTTAAAAAGTACAACGTTACTTGTATTATGATAGTGGTTCTACATTTGTTGTATCCAATGTGCGGGTGGTCTACTAAGTGAATAAAATCTGGTATTTAATATTATGTTTTTTTACAATTACAGTGTTATTTTTTTAAATTGAGAAATAATTGTTTGTTTCCCTATGTCCTCAATTACCGTACTCGCGTGAATAAGCGCCCAGGTGCTTAATATATTTTTTGCACTTTCTGAGGGGCGCTTATTCAAACGGGGAGCTTATTCAAATGGGGCGCTTATTTCAACGGGGTGCTTATGAAAACCGAGTGAAAATTGAGGGGGCGCTTATGGAAATAGATGAGAATCGAGGGGTTCTTATGGGAAATTATTTTAATAATTAAAATTTAAGAGGCACTTTTTGAATGAAAAAAAGATTATATGACATTACAAATGGTGGTTAGAAAAGATAATCGTCCAGAGAACATGGCTCATAACAAGAATGCATGAATACTTACATACCAGCAAAATAGCAGATGCAATTAGTGGTGGGTAGTGGTTATCTGTCCAAGAGAAATATCTTTATTTTGATATTGACTAAAGAAGAATGTGTTTCCACTCTACAGCTCAAATCATGCCAACAACCACAGTCCCAGGATTGATTGGATTATTGACTTGTTAAAGAGAAAAATCTTATGAGGGGGCGCTTATTCAAACAGGTCGCTTAAGGAAATTTTCACATTAGGAGGGGCGGTTATTCGAGAGGGGCGCTTATTCAAACGGGGCGCTTATTCGTGCGAGTACGGTAGTAATATTTAGATATCGCTGTGTTCACTGAAGTTGCATTTTATCGGACTAGGTATAGAGATTAACACAATAAATTTAGTGTCCTACAACGTAAAAATGCCATTGGCGGCCCCTGGCCCCCAGTCTAGTTGCTCGCTTCGCTCACAAAACCAACCCCCCCAACCCATTCAGAAAGCTGGATACGGCCCTAGTAATACTAACACCATTATAGGCTTCTAGGATCCTAAATGAACAAAAAGAACAACATAGTTATAAAGAGCGGCCAAAAACTTCTCAAACCTGTATTGCAATCGTCGCCCTTGTATCCGTTGATGCAGGTGCATCCGAATGGATCAGGAGGACAAAAAAGCTTTCCTTTACAAGCTTCATCATTTCCAGTTGAACAAACAACATCACAATCACGACCCCAGTTATTGCTTCCACAAGCTACAGTACACAAAAAAAAAATAAATAAAATTTTTAAAAAATAAATAAATAAAAAATGTAAAAAAAAGCAGAAAACCGAAAAAAAAAATAACACACTTTATGAAGTGTGTTATGACATAACACACTTTATGAAGAAAAATGCTTACAATATTAGGATCATGAATTTATTTTATAGGAAGACATATAAATATTCTTTTAAGATTTCTCATATATTCACTATTGAAAAAAACATGTTTTACCGAGTACTAAAATCTAAATTCAATTTAATTGTAGGCCTACATGTTTGGCAGTATTCTCCTTTGAAGCCTGCGGGGCAAATACATTGACCGGACTTGTCGTCACAAACTCCACCGTTATAACACACGGGACAATCCATCTCACATTCAGGGGGACTCCATTTTGGCAGCGGACAATCTAAGTAAAAAAGTGTAAAACAAGTTAAAAAAGTGAGTCTATAAGATGAAAACGAAACTAAATTTTAAGGCTTGAAAGAATTTCATTAAGCTTCAGGAATTGTATAGATGACGAACCTTCGACCTACATCCGGAGGAGGTGTACGATGTCATCAACAGATGACGTCAGGACCAAGCTAAATAACACCTAGCTGTCAGATAAAAATCTCTGATAGGGATCGAAATGTTCTGAGTAAGTACTCCGTTTAAAATTTAGATTTACAAAAACAAAAATTTGTCAGCTATACAATTCCTGAAGCTAAATGAAATTCTTTCAAGATTTAAGAAATAAACATTGTCAAGAAGCTATTAAAATTGTACACCAACAAGAAAATATCGCGAAGGAAATTTCCCACCAGAGAAACCACCAAGTATTTTCCCTCCATTGCAAGAGATTAGACATCACCCCTCCGAGGTTGAAATTACACCTGCCCATAAAATCTGCAAAAGCTGAGAAAATAATAAAACATGCAGAAAAACAGCTCTTAAGAGAACGGATAAGAATCACTACAAATAAAATCACGCAGTTAGAAGGCAAAAAGAGAAATTAAATCAGGAAATCGTATCGCTAATTCCCAACAGAGGGGAGATCGACAATGTTTGGAATCACATCAACAAGGTGAGTGAGATGGAATTTTTGAAATGAATATCGAGGCAACAAAATAAGCTCGTATGGTGGAAAAAAAAAGTGGAAAATACTGCTAATGAATTGAATCAAGACCAGGATTTGCCCGGTAAGATCATAAGAGAGAAGTGGGTTGTAAACTTGTCTAGTAAGGTGATTAATAGAGACGAAATATCTGTGCTACAAAAGGGCCTGAACTACGCTGCTAGCCCGCCAATGTTTCCTATGGACGATCTCATAGTAGCGGAGAAAGCAGCGGATCTTGTTCCCTTGGAAGAACAAGACGCTGTTCGTAGTAAGATTGTATATCGATCATAAAATCCTCGAAGCTACCACCTCTAAATTTATCACGAAACGAACGGAAAGCATTAAACAAATTGAAGGATACAACAACCATCATTCTACCATCGGATAAAAGACATCCACTGTCATTCTGAATTCAAATGACATCTTAGTCAGGCTGCTGAAAGAGAAGAAAATCACTAGTAAAGAAAAAGATTGGCTTTTTCCCACCGCTGAAATCGTACCCAGGCTGTATTGCCTTCCTAAGATTCATTAGCCAAATTGGCCATTAAGGCCAATTGTAGACAATGTCAACACCGTATTATACACTGTTGCCAAATTCCTTACATCAATCCTGAGGCCGCTAGTAGGTAACACAGAACACCATGTTAATTATTCAGGTAAGTTGGCTCAGGAAATACAAAAGATAACGGTTAAGCCAGACGAAACATTTGTCTTTTTCGATGTAGTGTCCCTATTTACAAAAACACCAGTAAAAGAGGCTCTGAAAGTAATCGAGAACCGTTTAATAACAGATACAACACTTCATGAGAGAACCAAACTACAAGTAACAGACATGGAGCTGCTTGAACTGATTGTCAACAAGACCTATTTCTCGTTCAATGGCAAAATGTACAGGCAAAAACAGGGAATTGCAATGGGAAGCCCTATCAGTCCCATATTGGCTAATCTGTATCTTGAGTGGCATGAACAACAAGCCATATATCACAGCACCGAGTAACATCAAGCCTGTGTTCTGGAAGCGATATGTAGATGATGTACTAGCCATCATTCCTGCAGGTATGACACACACTCAATGCACATTTAAATAATATACACATCACTAACAATATAGAATTCACTGCCGAACACATAACTCAATTTCTTTTCTGGATATGCAAATCAAGTTTAAAGATGATGGCACAGTTACTACCGCTATTTACCGGAAACCCACACACACAGATCAATATATTACACTTTGAATCATACCATCCATTAGTTCACAAACTGGGGCTTATAAACACACTAATGGCTAGAGCCGAGAAATTGGTTGTGGACAAGAATATGAGGGATATTGAAATAAACAACTTTAAGAGAGCGCCAGTACCCAGAATGGTCCTACCAGAGGGTAATGGATAATCGTGGAAATAAAAAAGAACATCACAAACAGCAAAAGGACAAAATCAAGATGAGAGGTAGGTGTAGGAATCCCCTACATCAAAGGCATGGCTGAAAGAATCAGACGCACTCTCTCCACTCACAAAGTCGGCAACTATTTCCTACCTCAAAATAAAATCAAGACCAGCGTCTCGTCAACCCCAAAGACAAGATCGAAAAAACGGAGACCTGTGGTGTAGTGTACCAAGTAGTAAACTGTCCTCAAATTTACATCTGGAAGACAGGGCAAGCATTAAAAACACGAATCAACGAACACAAAACAGACGTCACAACAAACACAGGAAGAATAAGGACTAGGGCTGCCAGACCTTCTGCATCAACAATATTACAAAAATCAGCTACTACAGACCACAGCATATATCACAATCACGTACCAAACTGGGAGGCAAACATACTAGCAAAAGAACCCAAACAAAAAGATAGGCAGATCAGAGAGTCCTTGTATATAAGGCGCAACAAAGGAAAAATCATGAACAGGGATCAAGGAGCACATGAACACTCTCATCTGTCCAATGATGTTATAGAATCCACACCGAGCTGGCCCCGCACAACCTTCGACCTACATCCGGAGGAGGTGTACGACATCATCAACAGATGACGTCATGACCAAGCTAAATAACACCTAGCTGTCAGTAGATAAAGATCTCTGATAGGGATCGAAACATTCTGAGTAAATACTCCTTTTTCAATTTAGCTTTACAAAAACGAAAATTTGTAATCTATAAATTTTAAGACACTAATTTTATTATTAACACTGTCTAAATTAGTTTTATCAAGCACAGTATATACGTTTCAATTTTATACTGAATCTTTTGAGAAAGGTGTTTATTGAAGGTTGATGGTAAAACAAAATTAACAAATATTGGTGAATTCGGGAGTGGGGGGGGTCAATGGGTTCGGACGTACCCCCTCCGTGATGCAAATGTAAAAAAACAAAAAAAAAACAAGGAAGGCCGCCTACTTTTATATCCAAATTTAAGTCTTTGGGTGCCATTTCCGGCCATCTAGAGATGCCACAATCATGAATTGTCTTACCCCAGCCCCCAACTATGGTGGTAGACCCTCCATGTGTGGGCCCCTTCTACTACGAATTCTGCATGGATTCTGGCCTAAAAGGCATGATAAAAAACTACCTAGGAGCAGGTGGGCAGATCCGACAGGCTAACCTTAGCCTAATTAGCCTTCAGTAAATAAAATTAAAAACATTGTTGGTTCGACCATTGTCTATTATACAACCAATAGGTCCATGATACAACCAGGGACTAAATTCCAAGCCATCTGATTCAGCAAGATCTCTTTATTATTGGGATCTTTGAAATAAAATGATATATATGGTCTATTTTCTTTTTCTCTATGTAGGCGATAAAATCAGATGACCTTTTTTGAAGAGGGGAAACCTTAAAAGTCATTAAAAGCTAATTTCCGGCCATCTAGGAATCAAAATTTTCTTAGTGGAGGGCCCAGACCCCCCTTTCTTTTGTGTACTTTGGGGAAAAACGGAACCCCTTGCTTCAAAACCTGGATCAACCCCTGATTGGTCATGTATAATGATCATTTATTGTGTATGTTTAATGAGTAATGATAATTAGGCCAAAAAAAAAAAAAATATGTTGTGTGTCCTTCCGCGGCCAACCAAAATTTTCCAAATAATTGGGTCTTTTTTTTTTCTTTAAATTTTGTTCAAGTACAAATTCGAGAAAAACACTTCCGAAATTAAAATTTATAAAATAAAATCTAAAAGGGACATGTATTGTTATCAAAATCGGGCCATAGATGCACGCGTAAAATAGAAGGCATAATTTTGAGAACCAAGCGCTGAGCTGTCAAGCCACAACCAGATCTAGTCCTATTGCCATCGTTCTATTTCGGCGCCTATGAACTACCAGCCGTGGCCTTCTAGGGTTTTCAAAGGGACTGCAGTTTCAGGCCTATCCTATTTCGCGTACTAGGCCTATTACTATTAAAAAAACAAACAAAAAAAATCCGACCGGCGATCTCGATTTTTCCATTTAAGGGGAACACAACAATTTTTTTTAAAAATTATAATTAGGTACATTCATGTGTATTACTATTATGACTATAAATAAAATAAAAATAAAACAAGTAAACACTTCTAGCATGAGGGTTATACGATGTAGACAAAACAAACAATTGCCAAGAAAACATACAAACACGCAAAGTTATTAACTTTGCGTGTTTGTATGTTTTCTTGGCAATTGTTTGTTTTGTCTACATCGTATAACCCTCATGCTAGAAGTGTTTAAAAGCAATGCAGTCGGGGAGATCAGACATTAGGCAAAGAGGCATTAAAGTCATTGGTGAAATGTATGTACGTACAGTGCACCCTCCAATTCCGAGACCCCTCTAATTCCAAAACGCCTCTAATTCGAGACCACTTTTCCAAAGACCCAAATAACGATCTTCAACCTTTTAACACAAAGCTAGCCCTCCAACTGGGGACCAACCCCCGAGACCACCCAAAAAAAACCAAAAAACTACAAAACCATTATATATACATATATATAATGATATATATAACATATATTCAAGAGCAACCAAACAAACCAATTTCGGATGATTGCCTCACCAAAAATGTCATTTATCTCATATATTGTATATTTGTGGTAAACAATATGTCGGAGAAACAAAAAACACTCTCCGTATGAGAATGACACAACGTAGATCAGCTATCAGAACATCTAAGCTTGATCAACCAGCAGCCGAACATTTCAATTTAGCTGGTCATTCCATTTCAAATTTCAGAGTGATTGACCATAATGCCAATTGGAGCAACAAAAATCGCAAAGATAAAGAGAATCACTGGGAACTTTTACTTAAAACCACCACACCATTTGGACTCAATATTAGGAATGTTCTCCCTGTACACTAAATTAAACCAATGGCATTCCAAATTATTCTGGATAAATCATTTGGCTTATTTATTGAGGCATGCCTCTAAAGTTTAGTTTTGGCCTTTCTGTTTACTTGTTTAGACTGTTTATTCTAATCTCACCTAGCCTATTTCAATCATGCTTGCATGAAATTCTCACTTTATACTATCTGGCTTTTTCTACCCTCACTCACTCGCCACTTTTAGCTGTTGCTTATCATTTTTGTATCTCTATCGAGATAATAATAATAATAATAAATAATAACGATAAGTTAATACTACAAACTTTGTGATTTTAAATTAAACGAGAGCATCAATGATGCAATAGCCCTCTTGACAACGGCAACAAATTTGGGGAAACATTAAAATAACGCTTAGTTAACCCTTTGGAACATATCTTTGGTATCTTCCCCCAGATACACCCAATTCATTAAAATGGAACAATTTTTTATTATTGCAATTAAAAATATTTCTCTGTCCTCCATCAATCCAACATTCTATTGATTGTGAAATTAGACCAATGTGAATGTTATCATGCCTGTTTACCTCTGACAATGAGTCTCATAATTCCACGGTTGTCATCGCGACTATCACTTCCATAACATTCATAAACCCCGTCATCTGTAGCGCGTATATTCTTTATTGTAACAGACGAGTTACCATTCCACATTTGAATTACGTCACCATAATTATGTCTCCAGCGTAAATCATTAAAACCGCCGTCTTCACTGAGGCTGATAGTGGCGGATTCCCCAATGCCGACAGTCATCGTTCGAAACTTCATTTTAATGGTGGCTGTGGAAATACATTCAAATAATTTATTAGTAGGGATGACAGAACAAAAAATATCACTTAATATGTGTAGTGTAATTATAATCACATAATTAATTAAGTATAAGAAACAACAGTTTTTTACAATTTATCTTCTAAACTCCTGCACAGATCTGGAAAAAATATATCGTAGCACTATTCTTTTTGGTGTCTTACCATTAATGGCATTTTTTGAGTTTCTATTTTACGTTCATTAAAATATTGTAAAAATAATTTTACATTAACTTGAACCTATAACATATTGGACGAGGAATTTTCACTCTACAAAAGCAACATGTGAGAATACAGTAAAACCTCGAATTGAAGCCCAGTGGCCCTATCTCGAGATGAAGCCCATCTTAAATTGAAGCCACCTCTTTAGTTTGCAAAATTAGCCTCAAATGAAGCACATGGGCTTCTTTTAATGATAGCATAGGCTTCTTTTCAGTAAATACACTGACACATGAATTTCAGAAAATAAAATAAAATAAATACAAGCTTGGTTTATACAGTAGTGTAGGTAATTTAGTGCAAATTAAATACACTCCTTGACACAGATTGATGTTACAGTGTTCTTATTTATATTTTATAGTACAAATTCACAAAATTTACAGCATTCATTATGAATAGAAGCCCTCCTCTTTACTTTACAAAAGTAGTCTTGAAAAGAATACCATCTCGAAAAGAAGCCCATCCAAAGTTTGCAAAAAAGAAGCCCAGGGCTTCAAATCAAGTCTTTACGGTACTCACATTACATTAGTACAGCACAGAGGAAGGCACAGGGTACTGTTGAGTGAGGTAAGCAGACCGTACCACTTTAATGAGTGCGGCTAATACAAACGCATGTTCAATAAATAGGCATTATAATAACGGGAAAAAAATAATAAATTGCCCATATTAATCACTAAAATAAGTCAATACGTGACGAATAAATAATTTTTACTATATTCTTTAAGGTATACTGTATTACCTGCTTTTGTCAACATTATAAACAAAATTGTTGTCTCACATTTCTTTATTAAAAGGGTAATTTGTCTTTCATTTGCAAAGGTCTTTCTAAAATTATAGTTAAACACGTAACAGTATTCAATATTGTGCTTTACAACATTAATCTTGTATATATGGCAATACTTGAAATATTTGGCAGACTATGTTTCACAGCATGACTATCTAACATTATGATACTGCTAGAGCGAGTGGGCAAAAAACTGCACAGACGTTGGTAAATAGTGAGCAGCTTTTATCTTATTTGTGGGAGGGGGATCATTTGTGATTATCAGGTTAGTCTCAAAAGATGGAGACTGGCAAGACAGACTGACACAGTTCCCCACGTAATTGTTTCTGCACACCCTCTTGCGAATACCTGGACCCGCCCCAGTACCTCACAGCATCGTTTTTGATGATTTACCATCAATTTGATCTGAAAGAAATGTATCATAGCACCTGTTTAGGTGTCTTAACATTATTAGCCTATTTATGCCAATTGAAATAACGTAAAAAATAAAACAAACAAACAAACAAATCATCACTAACACAAATCTACAACATACCGTATTGGACAAGGACAAAAACAACACATCCGGATATATCATTTTTCTAATTGCGCAGTACAGTACAAAGAGAAGAGTAATAATATTTAGTGTAGCTAAGTTGAATGTACCACTTCAGGCGGCTAATACTATGCGTATGTTTACTAAATATACAGTATACTATTATTGTAATAAGCCCCCTAGATTTATTGTACATGAGGGCCCGAATGATCAGCTTTGCGGGATGGACTACCCTCCTTAAACATGGTTTTAGATAAATTATGAATGGAGTTTTACTATACTGTTCAGTATCTTACCTGCTTTTGTCAAACATTATAAAACAAAATTATTTGCACTTATTCGAGCATAGTACAAATGCCATAAACGACTGTGTGATGTTTGTGGAGTGTCTGTTTACTCAAGTTAGAACGGTTAATAACGTACACAACTGACTACGGTATAACGTTTACTCGCATGCTTTATTTCCACACTCTACAGCTCTAGCATCCTCATTTCCAACATCGGTATTCCACATAATAGAGGGCGGTGTCCAAGGCTACGACATTATATCCCTCTCCCCCTTAAATGGAATTAACGTCAGTCTATTTGGTAGACTTTGTATTGTACATTAGAGCAGTATTAAGATGTATTATTTATTTTAGTTAGTTAAAAGACGACCTTAATTTGTATCATAAGTACCTTGCTTTGCTAAGTTGTTACTATGGGTTTTTTATTCTTATTTATTTATTTATTTACTTATTTTTTTTAAACATTTAAACTATTCTCAACATCATAAACAACAAAATTTTCAAAAGTTCCGTTTTTCAAATAAGTTACATAACATAGTCTTTTAGTCGGCTTGGAAGTCTGATGCTTCTCTTTGGTCGTTGCCTATCTGGTGTTTGAGGTGCTGGGGCAAACTGAGGTGCCGGGGTTGGTTCATCGTCATAGTCACTATAGAGCTGAAGCTGTTGATTGTAGCTTTTACTCTTGAGTCGGTCAGCCTTTTTGAAAAACGATGAATCTCTGGTGATTGTGTGATTTCCATTGTATGCTGATATCATGGTGCCATTGACTTTTGTGACTGTGTAAGGTTGTGTATGATAAGGTGTTTCATGGCTGCGTAAGCTTCCATCTCTCTTGCGTAGAACCACATCTCCTTCATGAAAAGTTTTGTTTTTGAAGCGTTTGTTTCTTTCTGCATTCAGTTTCATCATGGATTTTGCCTTTTTGTCATGTAGACGGAACGTTTTGACATTTGTGGAACTGCGTGGTATTTCAGGTAGCCGTGTGCGTATCTCTCTGCCAAACATCAGCGTAGCTGGTGGCATCCCAGTTGAACTATGTGGTGTTGCCCTATGGTTTCTCAAGTATTTGTTCAATGCTTGCCGCCAGTTCTGTTGTTCTGCTGTGGCAGTACGGTAGAGTTTCTTGAGGTTCCGCATCATCCTTTCTATTTCACTATTTGCACGTGGCCAAAGTGGTGTGACCTTTCGGTGCTTAAAGTCAGAGTATTGTGCAAATTATGAGAACTCTCCTCTGTTGAACGGTGGGCCATTGTCTGTTCGAACAATTACTGGAATGTCGTAGGTAGCAAAAATGGTGTCAAGTTTTGGGACACTTTTGGCTGATGTTGATTTTGTGACTTCTATGACAGGAAACCTGCTATAATCATCGATTACTACCATCAAGTATTCTCCCGTTGGCAATTCTTTAAAGTCAACGCTTATCTCTTGCCAGGCTCCTTGTGGGAGTTTAGACATACTTAGTGGTGCAAAGGCGTCCTTCTCGAGAGTTGATGCCTGACACGGGAGACCTGAAGCTATTGTTTCTTCAACTATATGATCAAGGCCAGGGAACCAGACTTTCATCCTCACGAGTTGTTTGGTCTTGATTACTCCCTGGTGGCCTTCATGCGCGATATCGACTGCTCTTTGTTGTAATGATTTGGGAATTACGATGCGATGATCACGCAGCAGTATGTCGTTTTTGACACTTACACTGAGTTGGTCTCTGAGTTTGAAAAGAGATTCGATGTCTTTTTTGGTAGTCCCCGATGCTTGCCGTTGAATGGTGTGCCACTTGTTGGTTTTTATGGCCGATATACATAGTTGTAGCGTTTTGTCTTTTGCGGTTTCGTGTTCTATCTCTTTAATAGTGAGGGATCTTGGAATTGCATTTGATAGTGTAAAATTAACATACTCTTCTGCCATTCGTTCCTCTCTGCTGGATTCTTTCGTCGTTGGCAATGGGTGGCGGGATATATAGTCCGCTGGGTTGAATTTTCCTGGTTGGTATGTTAAGGTCTAGTCGTATTCTTGTAGTCTCATGAGCCAGCGTTCTATGTGCAGTGGTGGTTTAAAAGTGGCATTGTTGAAGAGAGGGAGCAGCGGTTTGTGATCTGTAACAACCTCAAATTTTCCTCCGTACATATACATGTGGAAGTATTTTATTCCCCATGTAACGGCCAAGGCTTCCCGTTCAGTTTGTGAGTAGCGTTGTTCTACTTGTTTCAGTGAGCTGCTGGCCAGTGCTACCAAGACTGTTTTATCACCATCCTGTTGAGCTAACATTGCACAAAGGCCTACTGGGCTGGCATCAACAATTACCTCTGTGTGGAGTTGCTGGTTAAAATATGCTAGATTACAATGTTCTGTGATGGAATCTTTGACTGCTTGAAGGGCGACTGCATGTGGTATGAAGCGTGAACAATAAGTAGCAAGTCCTAGCAGGCTTCGAACCTCTTCTTTATTGGTTGGTGGTGTTGCATTTTGCAACGCCTTAACTTTGTCTGGACTTGGGGAGATGCCACCTGAATGAAACTCATGCCCAAAGAACTCAACAGTTTCTTTGTTGAATTCACATTTTCCTTGGTTTAGAGTCGAGTTCTTCTCCCTCAGCCTCTGAAGACAGATTTTAAGATGTTCCTTATGTTCCACTGAGTTTATGCCATACACCAGGATGTCATCTGATAGGTTGATCACACCAGGGAGACCAGCTAGCGCAGACTGGATGAGATTTTGAAATTGTTCGGCTGCACTGTTTACCCCAAAGTTTAGGCGTTTAAACTGGAACAGACCAACGTGCGTTGAAAATACAGTCAGGAACCTGGATGCATCATCTAGCTCTCTTTGACGATACCCACACTTTAGATCAAGTTTAGAAAATACTGTTGCGCCGTTGAGGCTGGCAATGATGTCGTCAATTGTTGGCGTGACATGGCGTTCTCGCTGGAGCTTTGTTAGGAGCTCTCATGTCTATGCAGAGTCTGATTTCGGTTGGATTTTTAGGCTTTTTTACAACAGTGATGGGTGAAACCCATGGTTTTGGCTTATCAACCACCTTTTCAATGACATCCAAGTCTTGGAGGCATTTTAGTTCTGCTTCTACCTTTTTTTCTTACTTGGAACGGTATTCGTCTATGTGGTTGTGTTACTGGTTGTACGTCTGTGT